CTTGAACAAATGGAAAAACAAACAATATTATTGGATAGGACAACTGAACATCATAAAAATATCAATTGTCCCTGAGTTAATTTATAACTTTAAACATATTCCCAATAAAAACATCACCAGGATTTTTTTTTTTTTTTTTACCAGACAGATGATTCTAAAGTTCATATGGAAAAATAAACAAGCCAGAGTAGCCAGGAAATTTAAAAAAGAATAAGGGGACAAGCTTTACTGGATGTTAAAACATATTATAAACCTACAATAATGTAAAAAGTGTGGTATAGATCAGTGTTACACAATGAAGAGTATAGAAATAAATCCAAATACATAGGGGGATCTAGTACCAGTATTTGACAAAAATGGTATTTCAGTCAATGAGGAAAAATAAACTATTCAATATATGGAATTGGGGCAACTTACTTGATGTCTGGAAACAAACAGAATTGGATCATACTTCACCCCTTTTATCAGGATGAATTCCAAATACATCAGACATACATTAGTAAGATGAAAGCATAGAAGTAACAGGAGAAAACTTTGAAATGGGTAAAGCCTTTCAAATTAAGACATAAAATCCAAAAACCATAAAATAAAACATCAGTTCAGTTACATCAAAATACGTAATATCGGCATGGCAAAACCACTGTGAGCAATGACAAAAGTCAAACAAGAAACCAGAACAAGTTTTTGCAATTCTTATCCCACACAAAGTTTGTTTCCTAATGTAAAAAGGGCCCCAACAATTGATAGAAAACAAACACCACAAAAGAAAAATGGCAACAGTTCGCAGAAAAAATAATACCAATCACTTCTAAATATATGAAAAAATGCTCAAACTTACAGAGAATATGCTGAGATACTGGTTTTACCTATCAGACTACCAGAAACTTGGTGACATACCATGTTGGCCAGCAGGCACCATCATACACCGCTGACAGAAGGGTAAATTGTTCAACCTCTAAGGAAGGCAATTTGGCAACATCCCTCAAAATCCACATTCTTGTACTATCTGATTCAGAAATTTCTTTTCTAGAAAATATGTACAGTTGCCTTCATATATATGCAAGGTGTCATATGTACCAGCTTATTCACAGCAGCAGTGTTTGTAATAGCATGATATTGGAAGCATCCCAATGTCCCCCAGTAAATGTGGTGGAATATTATGCAGCCATAAAAAAGACTTAGGAGGCTCTTTATATACCAATATATATTAAGCGGAAAAGGTAAGTTGCAAAAGAGTGTGTATAGTAAGCTCCTATTTAGTTAAAAGGAGGGAAATAAATATATAGTCACATTTTCTTATTTATGTATAAAGTGTGACCAAGAGGATACATAAAGAACAAATACAAAGCAATTGCCTGCAGGGGAAAAAGGATTGTATGGGGAACAGATGCAGGAGGGAGAATATTTACTGTGTGCCCTGGGTTTTATGAATACATGAAGGCATTATCTACTGAAAAAAATCGAATGAAACTATTAATAATACATCAATTCAATAAGTCAAAGCTCGTCACATTGACTCATATATAGGGAAAAGGATTTTGCTGTATTTTTTTTCCACTATTAAAAAATGACCCTACTCCTTAAAAAATGTCCCCAGTCCTCAAAAGTGCCCCAGCCTTGTATTTGAGGACTGAGTAGACAGGAATGGATATCTAGGCGAAGTCCCTCTCCACAAGGCTCTCAGTCAACAGGTTTGATGAGTGCCGGGTAGTGACACGAGCACCGGGGGAACTTTCTCTCAAGAAGGAAACAAGCCCGCTCCCCCTGCCCTGCGAGCTGGGCCTCGGAGCAGGCAAGGCTGAGAAACAGTTGTTCCCCACCTGCTTCCCGGGGAGGCTTCGGGGCCCCTAATGAAGAGGCAGCACTAAAAGCCAGCGAGAGGGAGAATCCTGGGGCAGGAACAGGATGCAGAAAGTCCGGGGTCCCGGGGCTGCAGTGCTGGTAGGAGGAGGGAGGGAAAGCCCTGAGGGGACCCCAGCCCTCAGCCAGCGGTGCGGCCAGCAGAATTTCAGGGATACCACCTTCTTTCGGCAGTCTTCCTTCATCCTTTGGAGGGAAGGACCTTCTCTCTCTCCTCTCTTTTTCTCTGAGCAAGCGTGGCCCTGGGCTTCCCCGAGCTCTCCCATCCACCGAAATCCCACTCGGGAACTCGCTGAGCGCCCAGGACCAGACAAGTTTGCTTGAGCAGTGTCAGTAATTTTATTTTTTTAATGAGACTGAAGACCCCCAGAGGAATAAAGTTCTAGCAAAGGCCTTTCTGGCTCCCAGAGGTCTCTCAAGCTGCACTGATCTTTCCTGTCACCAAGGAAAGGAACATGAGTCACTGCCTCTTCCGTGGGACTTGGTTGTGTGTGGGGAGTTAGACTTTTGGAGAAATACAGACCTTGGGGGTGGAGTCTGAGGAAGTGACTAGTGGCGGGGTTTCGGAAAACAGGGGCAGGACAGTGGGAAGGAATGTTCTGGCCTGGGTCCTCCCTTTGCCACAGCTGAGCGGCAACTGCCTGCACCACCTGGGCCACCCTGGGCCTTCAGTGTGGGGCGGCTCTTCCCCCAGGGAGAAGTGGGGCAGGAAGCAAAGGGATGGTGTGCATCTGGGCCAGGGCCAGGGCAGGCCAAGAAGAGCGGGGAACGGGGAGGAAGAAGAGCTCCACCTTCTCCTGCCCTGAGTAGGAACCCTGAGCAGAAGGGAAGGCTGAGCCTGCTGTGCCGGAAATGCTGAGTTGCAATTTTCAGAGCAAGGGCAAGGTTCAGGCTGGCTTGGAATCTTCTGAATCTATTCCATCCACACAAATTAGAACGAGTCCTTCCTATGACATAACAAAGGATTTAAAAAAGAATGCTTTGAGGGGTGGCATGTGGGGTTCTTTATCAAGTTGGGGTGGTGGCTGGCTGAGAAGAAGTCCCCAAGGGCAAAGGCAGGAAGGTGGAGAGTGTAGTAGCAGAGAGGCAGGACTGCCAGCTTTCGGAGCTGGGGACCTGAGTTCAGGTCCCGTTCCATCCACCGCCCTCCTCACCTTACAGAAATCACCTACCTTCTTCCGGCTTCCATGACTTATTTCTGCCACAGGAATAGCAGAGTGTGCTCTTTCTCTCAGTGTTGTTCAGAACATGAATGTGGTTTGTAGACCACAGAGGTGCTTTCCACACCATATTGTTGTTGTTGTCACTATCACCATGAGTGTTGCCATGGTGATCATTGTGCATGGGTGTGGGGGGAGGTGGGGGTGTCTTGGGCAGGCAACACTACATTAGAGAGCATGAAGGGGCCATAATTCAGCGGGTGGTAGGTCCACCTCTCAACGACTCCAACGTGGCAGGTGGGCAGACAGGACCCTCAGTTCCCTCTAACTCGGTTTCCTCATGAAGGAAGTGGGTGTATCAGGATTAAGGCCCTGCTACTTTCACACTATCTCATTAACCCTTCAGACAAGGAAGAATGTGTCCTCCTAATTTGATGGATGAGGTAACCGACAAGCAAGGTGACTCTCCCAGAGCCATGCCACAATGGGGATTAAAACCCAGGCCTCCTGCGCCCAGTCGGCATTCCTCTCACTGCTCTCATCTCATGCATTCATCTCAGCCAGAGCTGAGCCTTGACCACACACAGCGGCTGGGGTGGGGGGCTGGGGAGACCTGCCCCAGTGGCTCGGCTGGTTGGGCTTACTGTTCTTTCCGTGGTTCATGTGCATTTGCTTAGAGCAGCACATTTTATGTGCTTTCTCTTTTCTCAAGAAGTCCCAGCTGTAAGCAGAAATGGGGCCATGGGTGCAAGGCAAGCAGGCCCCAAGTGCTTCCTGCCCCACCTTTGCACTTAGGCCTGGATTCCTGATGGTGGCTGGAGTTCAAGTCCGGACACCAGCAGGCTTGTGAGAAAGGGCCCTCTTGCTCTGTATGCAGGGGAAGGCAGCTTCTTTGCAAGACCCCCCACCCTAGAGTAGCTGCTGAGGGAAGCCCAGAGTGGGCACCTCCATCTGACAGTCTGGGTCTTTCTATGGGACAGGCCTGGGGTTTGCAAACTTGATTGATAGGAGAATTCTTACCCAGAACCCAGATTTTATGTAAGATCTTATATAGAACTTCAGGGAACTGCATTGGTTGAGGCAGGCTTGGCCCCCTGGCCCTCACTCCCTGCACAGAACCATGTAGGCTCTGTGGGTCCTGGCTATGCAAACAGTGTGTCTTTCTTCCTGCCCCTGACCCTTCCCCTACTCAGCCAGCTTCCCCCTAGAAGACTGATCTTGCAGCTTCCAGGCAGGGCTCCCATTGCCCTCAGCATGAATTTCAAACCCCTTTCGTGGCATTCTAGGCTCTTTGTGGTTAGTTTCAACACACCTGTCTTGCCACAATTCACTGCAACCCAATTCTCTGGTCTCTTCACTACCTTTTGCATCTACTGTGTTGGCCTTCCCCTCCCTCCCACCTTTTCTCTTCATGGTCTATCCAAACCTCACCATTTATCCAAGCTTCTCTTGAAAGCCACTGTTTCCAGGAAGTCCTCCCTACCTGCACCAGCTGTCAGTGGTCTCCCCATTGAAACATAGCAGCTCACAGTCAGTGCCCTGTAAAATAGCATCTGATTCTTATGTGGTTTTATGTGATTCATTGAAGTCTTGTCTCTCCAACTGATCCCCACGGTTAACTCATGCAGAGAGATAAGTTGCTTCTTTCTTTCATATCAAGGTCTAACTAATATGAATTTCAGCACATAGGAGGGCTTCAATAAATAGCTACTGACTTTAATCTATTAAACCACAGCAGTTTTGAGATATTCCTGGGGTTAGCAAAGCTCCTCTGTTATGTTGGGGAGTGTGGAGCCCCTTTGGGGGTTGGCCAACATGGGCAGGAGCCCTGCCCTGAGGTTGGTTGGTGGCAGATCCAGCTTCCTCACAGGCTTTCCTTTCTGTAGCAGATTTCCCTGAGATGTGCACGTCTCTCCAACTCAAGAAGACCATATTGGGATGAATGAAGCATTAACCATGTGGTTCTGGCCTATCTTACAGAGATTTGAAACTGGACAACATCCTTCTAGATGCAGAAGGTCACTGCAAGCTGGCCGACTTTGGGATGTGCAAGGAAGGGATTCTGAACGGTGTGACGACCACCACATTCTGCGGGACCCCTGACTATATTGCCCCCGAGGTAAGACCATGTGCAAAGGGTCGCCTCCTCCAGCAGCCGTGCCTGATGCAGGGGTCCATTCCCATGCCCTGGGGTCATCTAGTGCTCCTTAGGGAAGGCTCTGGAAAACATGATGAATTCTAGGAAGGAGCAAGAAAGGGAAGGTGAAAGGCTTGCTGATTTCTCCTGAAGGGAGCGGTGGTGACGGGGGAGATAATGGCTGAACTGAGAGTAACCGGCCATTCCCCAAGTCTAGGCAGGTCCTCACTGAACATTACTCTCTCATCCCAGTCCAGAACAACCCATGAAACTAGGAGCAAGAGAAATTTGTTGATTTGTATCATTGTTTTCACTTTTTGATAGCCAGAATAAAGGAACTCCATTGACGAAGGCAGCAATTAGCTTTATCAGCTATAATTTGCCTCCAGCAAAACCAGGAATTATGTGCCATTTCTAGGGTGGCAGCAACTCTACATGGCAAGCACACAGGAAGAGGAGAGAGACTGTGCCTCATTATCAGTGGAGATCAGAGATGTTCATCGTTGAGCTTCACCAGTGGTTGCCATTCGTGAAAGTTATTTGGATGTTTTGTTCATCATAAAGTGCTTGTTTGCCCTGAGTTTCTCCAGGTCAATCTTGCCCGAACTGAGAGAGATGTAGTGTGATATGATTCAGATTGAAGACGCAGCTTATCATGGATACTTAATACAAATGGTCTTGAGAGCTCTGACACATGCGAAATGGCAAGGAAGTACCAGTCCTCACTGAGCATTGCACGTGGTGGGTGGGTGTTAGCACATTCAGATTTCATTTCCTTTCAGGGGGCACAGTTTGAGCACCTCCTAGACGTAAAACAACGGAGGGATAAAAAATTGACGAAGACACTGGGCGCTCTTCTAAAAGGACTTTTGGTCTAGATAAGTAAACAACTAATTAAGCAGAATAAATAGGTAGGCAGCACAAGATGGCATCCTCAGGGGTCAGGGAAGGCTTTCTGGAGCACCTGGTGGATGCACTGAGTTGCAAAGAATCAGCAGGATCTCCTTTGGTGGTAGGGGTGGGGAGGATTCCCGAAAACAACGGGGAGGATTTCAGTGGGGTGGGGCAGGGGAGGAGGTTTAATGTCCCTGGAGTCTGAATCCTTTAGGGCAGGGGCTGTGTTTCTAATCTGGGTACTCCCAGGATCCAGCACACAAATCCAGCTCTTAGTAATGGTTTGTTGAATGAATAAATGAATGAGAACTTGTGACACTCCAACATGAGCAAAGATGAAGGAACGAGAACATTCTTGGTCTTTTTCAGGAAGGGAAAATAGTCTTGACAGAACATAGGATTTCTTAGTGCTCATAGTAATGAACAAGATAAGGAAAAAGGACCAAGAAAAGTGGCCTTTATCCTGTAGGATCTATGGACCCAGTGAGAGTTTTCCAGTGGAGGAGCGTCATAATCAGACCTGTCCCAGGAAGGAGACAGGCAACAGCAGTGTAGATCCAAAGGCAGACAGTGAGGCAGGGACAGCTGGGAGATTTTCCACAGACCAGACAGCACATGGGGAGGCCTGAGGAAGGTTAAAGAAGTGAGGAGGTAAGTAATAGGAAATTCTCTTTAGAACTTTTATCTTCTAAGAGATCTGAAGAGAGAGATTTCGGTCTGTCTCTAAGAGTGTGTTCCCTTAGCAGGAACACTAGAAATTTAACTTTCAAGGAGATCAGTGAAAAGGAGGGCTGTCAGCTGGAACCTGCTTACTCACCACCTTCCTCATTCATCCTTTATCATCAGAATGCTTGGTTCCAGTCCCTCTGTGAGTTGATGCCAGAGTCAAAGCGTTGACAGCCCAGTGTAGTGGTTAAGAACGCAGCCCAAGGCAAACATTCACTTTATGATGAACAAAACACCCACACATCTTTCATGAAATGCAATCCATTGGCGAGACTCACAATGAACAACTCTGATCTCTGTTTACAATGAGGCAGAGACACTGTTCCTTCCCTTCTATCCTTATGCCCGCTATGCAGAATCGCCAGTACACTAGAAATGGCAAACAATCCCTGGTCTTACTGTAGACAAATTACAACTGATAAAGGTACTGCTAGCTTTATCAAGGGCTACTGGGAAGATTAAATGAAATTATGCCTCTAAAGCATTTAGCACAGTGCCTGGTCTACAGTAAGCACTGGGTAATCCATCTTTGTCATCATTGTTGCTGGGGTGTGCAATGGGGTGGAAAAAGCACAGTCCTGAGAGTCAAGATTCCAGGTAAGGCTTGACCACTAGTGCCCCCATGTGATCTGGATCAAGTTGTAAAATGTTTTTGACCCTCAGGTTTCTCATCTTTCAAATGGGAATAACAATTCTGCCCTTCCAACTTTATCAAGCTGTATTGAGAATCTAATGAGATTAGAGCATGGGAATGATTCAGAATGTATAAGCCTCTGTTCAGGTAGGAGGAGTCATGAGGCACCTGGCTAACCCCAAAACCAGAGACACCTTCTGAGGCACTAGCTTTGCCCAGGGCTTCTCTTCCCACCATGTGCCCTTGACTAACCCCCATGGCACCCCCTCTCCTTTCTCTACAACCAGTACCTGCTCCCCAGGAAATGGCAACCAGCCTAGGGGAATGCCTGGTGTCACCTAGCTCAATGCCTGCCCTTCTCTTCTACCCCAGCTCTGACCCACACAGGGCTTGGCTGCCACACCAGGTGCCCTCCCATGGCATGTGAAACCTTGCCCTGCTCATCAGCTCCATTGCTGACAAGCCGATTAGGAAGCAGATAATTAGGGCCAAGCCTAAAAGGAATTTTACAAAAGCTGCCACCCAAAAGGGGACGGCTCTGGAGGGGGCTGGGGAAGGTGGGCAGGGCTGTCCTGTGGTTTCCCCCCATGCTATCCTGTCTAAATACACAGGCCACCTGGAGGCTACCTCCCCACCACACCACAAAGACACAGAACCCAGCTGTGCCACTTCCCAAGGCTGGAGGGCGGCTACCATAGCACCAGAGCCCCGGGAGCCCAGGAGAGAAGGGAGCATGCCCAGTAAGACCACATTGTGGGCACTCCTAGCAGCCAGTCTCTTGAGTGTTGGAACTGGGCTGCTCCCAGTGAGGGGCTCAGAAGAAAGCTAGAGCCCCTATCCCCTGGTGACTTTTAGATGTCCTGGGGAGACAGGTGACCATGAAAAAAATAACTAAAATCACAGTTGTATTTGGAAAGTGCCTGCATATCTTAGGGACAGGCAAAGGTCTTAGGATGTCAGAGGATAGGAGAAAGACTGGAAAGATCTGGAAAAGCTTTCTGGAGGAGACAGGTGATAACCATAACCTTGAAGGACAGAAACTGGTGGTCCCATGCTGAGCCAAGTTGAGGTGCTGGATCTTTCAAGGTTGAGGGAGGCACTAGCTTTGGCTTTGGAACAGAGCAGCATTACTGGCTCCCCAGGGCAGTGGCGCCTATAGCTCTGACCTTCCTGGTACCATGTGCTGACCACTGGGCTGAGAGACCAAAGGTAGTCACCAAACAGATTACCAGCCCCTAGTAATTTAGAGTTGGCTGGGTTTGTTCAAAAGATTCCTAAAACATGCATGTTCTTCCTGTTTTCAAAATGCTTCTACCCAAGTCTTTTTATTTAATCCCAAGCAATCTGTAATCTCTAGAAGCATGTTTTGAGTAGACCACAGGAAGCCCAGGTATTCCGGTTCAGCCTTCTCTTCTCCCGCCATCTTGAAACCTGAGAACTGAGCTGGAGCCTTATCTGGGATATGATACCTGGGAAGTTACCTGCCTGAGGCGTCTTGCAAGCTGGAATGATTAGACGTGGCCTTTGCCACTTTGAGGGGAGTCTTCGAAGTACACCTGATTTTAGGACATGTACTCCAGCCACATTTCTCTTCTACACCCTTCACTTTTTGGAATTTTTTATAGTATTATAGAGCTCATCCACCCTCCTGTTTCTGGGCAGCACCATGCCTAATCCTGTTCTGACTAATAAGAGGAAAAAATAATTGTAGGATAGGCATGTCACTTCATGATCCCTTCCCTAGCAGTGGGGACGGCTGAGCATTTATTTCTATGCTGAGCCAAATGTACACAACATTGACCTACTACACGCTCTATACATGTAGACACCAAACCTAGCAAAAGAAAACTCGGATTGAATACTGATGCGGGGTCGGTGAGCCGAGGAGTCGAAAGAAAGATTTCTTAGACTCTCAAGATCTGGCAGTAGTGCTCTTTTATTTAGAAAATAGTGTGGAATAGCATGGGGACAGGACCCATGGGCAGTCAGAGCTTCTGCTGCCCCCAGTTGAGGGTTAGGGCTAATTTTATAAGGCATAGGTATATGATTCATCTCTTTACAAGACAAAGGAAAGAACATGAAAAAAAGTTAAAATGGTATCAGTGCAGGTGGGGTCTGGTCATTGGGTGATCCCATGACTTTTAGACAAGAATCAAATCGGATTAAGTAAAGGTTAGAAAGGTTAGACGCCACCACCCTAAACCAGTTACATGAGATTGCCAGACAGCAACCAACTTAAGTTCTTGCCTCTGGCATTGACCAAGAGCCTCTAGAGATAAGACCATCCCCCCCCTTCCTGGCACAGAGAGGGAGGCATCTTCACAGATAGAGGTTTCCCTTAGAAATGTAAATGTTTCCCAACAAAGGGGCAAACAAATTCCATTCCTTGGAGCCTGAATCTCATCTGTAGTTTTAAAACTAACCAGCCTAAAAATCCTCATCATAAGCCATTTTAAAATTAAGCAGCCTAAAAATCCCCATCAAATACCACCTTCCAATTATATAGAGCTTTGTATTTTGCAATATGCTCTCAAAATCTTCCACCTTAATTAACCTTGTGAGGTTAAACTGAGAATCTGAGCCTCGTTTGATAAATGAGGAAGTCAAGTGACTGGCTCAAGATCACCCAGAAAATTTAGCACCAAACTTGGAATGGAATGGAAATAATCTGGTTGGTCTTCTCTCTCTTCTATTGTAACACATGGCCAGTGCTGCAGAAAAATTAGGATGGGGCAGTTACTTGCTTTTCAAAAGGTTCTGCACCTTCTTGACTTTAGGTAGAATTCCTCCCAGATGCTGAAATTATGATTCAGTTTGTAAAACCGCAGTCCTCATAGATCCTTCTGCAGGAAGCTGACGGCAGAGAGCATTCGGCAGCGTCATATTGTACATGCATTTAACCTAAATAAATTTGACTCTACGCATTTGGTCAGAGGAAAAAAGAAACCATAGATAGGAGAAGTGACCATTGACAAAGACAAAACACATCAGACAATCTAGGAGGTCATTTGACTCGGGCATTGCAATAGAGAGAATGTTCGTTAGTGAGAAACACTGCAGATAAAAGGAGGGGGACCTGGGGCTTCATAGAGGCAGGTAAACGAGGGATCCACCCACCAGTATTATAGGAGTCATGAGGAATGTTGGAGATGGGTCTTTTCTTGGAATATCCAAGAGCCTTGTAGTCCTTTGTGGTTAGAAAACAAAAGGGTGGACAGATTTGTTATCTAGAGCTTCTTTTCCGAGAACACAGGACTCAGGTAAATTGAATATCGTCACCATTTAAAGAAGACTGAATTCTGCTCACCTTTCCACTCAGTGAGCCATGCCCCGGGCTGAGCGTGAGAGGGGAGACCTGAATTTGCTGCACTCAGTCACTTACAGCTTGCTTGTGTCTTTCTTAGTCTGCATCTCGCTCCTCTAACCCTGATTCTAGTGTCAAAAATATGCATTTTTTTATATGGCCCTAAATGTGGGTCAGGAACTTCATCTGGTGCTCAAAGAAACAGTAATTTGTTCCCACTGGAGGAACAGACTGACGGTGTTGACTTTGGAGAGTTGATAGTTGGCCCTCAACGTAGTGCCGCTCAAATGCAGTCTGCACTGATTTGGCTGATTCAGGACCTAAATTATGTAACACGGGGCTCCGCTTTATGGAGGAGCAAGGTGGAAATGAAGATGTGGTCCTTCCCACAGGCGCTTGTGGCACAGGCGTGGCCACGGATGGGAGTCTGTGGTGGGCCCTGATGTTGCCTGTTTCCTGAACAGATCCTGCAGGAGTTGGAGTACGGCCCCTCGGTGGACTGGTGGGCCCTGGGGGTGCTGATGTATGAGATGATGGCTGGACAGCCCCCCTTTGAAGCCGACAACGAGGACGACTTGTTTGAATCCATCCTCCACGATGACGTGCTCTACCCGGTCTGGCTCAGCAAGGAGGCCGTCAGCATCCTGAAAGCTGTGAGTCATCGCCAGCACCCACCTTCTGCTCGCCTGCCCTTCCCTCCATCTCTCTCTCGTTCTTCTCACTCTGTCCCTCTCACTCCTCCCTCACCCACTCCTCCTTCCTCCCTTTCTCTCTCTTAATGGGGGGAGTTGCAGCTGAGAGGATGGGGCATGGGACAAATCGCTCTTCTAGCGGGAAAGGAACTGCACATTTGTGTCCCCTGAGGGGGAGCTCTGTGCACATCTGTGTCCTCCAGCCTTTAAGAGGGAGCAGAACCACCCCAAACTGCACTGGTGTCACCCCTGTCCCTTACCCTGTGGGGTCTGGACCCTCCTTCCTTATCTGCTGCCCCGCCCTGACCTGTCTTCCTCTGGAGCCTGTGATGGGGGAAAGAGAGGAGGGGAGAGAGGAGAGGGTACTGTGCTCTTGTGTCCACAACAGCACCGCTGTGGCTGAAGAGCTGATCAGAAAAGGAGTGTCCCCTCAAGATCTATGCCGCCATGCTGGATTCAGACATGTGATAGAGAGACTGTCCCCACCCCTACAGATAATCCTTCACACGTGAAACCGTAATACTTGCTCAACGCAGTCGTTTGTACAACGTGAGAGGCTTGTCCTGCGGCGAGTAAGTGAAGTTATTAGCTGTCCCCCTTGGAAAGCTGTGGAAGCCAATGTGCAGGGCAGCTAAGCTGACCAGTTTATGGGGAAGGGCCACCCTGCTCGGTTGAGGCAGGACCAAGGTGACAGCTCAGGAACCTTGACTTCCAGTCCTAGCTTCTTTCGCCCATCGGAATGCCCCCAAAGTTCAGTAGTTGGCAAACTGCATTTGGAAAATTTGCCCTATGCAAGTACCCTCTCTGCCATGATTTATTCTTCGTATTCTTTCAATCAGCTCCCGATATTTACCTAATTGTATATATCTTACAAAGAAACTTTATATCACTATCATAAATGGAAAATTAGCATCACTTGCCATAACTAATTAACATAAATCATTCTATGAAAAAGTTAAAAAAGACCTAAAATTGTTTTCTAGGTGTCTGGGGGGACATTTACCGTATTTTGGGAAATGGCACATCAGAATAGGTTACTCTTTTGTAGCTCTTCTTTTTCTTCCTCCTTCCTTCTTTCCCTCAGCTCGTTCCTTCACTCCCTTCCTCATCTATTTTCCTTTCTCTCTCTCCCTTCCATTTATTAATTCAGTTAATATTGAACTACTATTTATTGAGCGCTTCCGATGTGCTGGGCATTGTGCTGGATGCTAAGTAAGTATTGGTGGGTATAACAACCATCGCCCCTGCCTTGTGGAGTTTGCAATCCAGCAGGAGAAAGTGGGCAATAAATAAAAAAGACATCTAAACATAGTCACAATTGGGAGAAGAGCATGATGGAAGCAACTAGAGTATGTTTACTCATCCATTATTTATTCAACAGGTGTTTACTGAGCATGTAGTATGTGCCAGACGCTATGCCAGGTGCTGGCTAAGGAAAAGCCTGTAGCACCCAAGGCAGCAAGAGCACCAGGCCAGCAGAGCTGGTGGCTCGTCCAGCCCTGAGCTCCAGCCTGGCAACCCTCCATGTGAGGCCCCCCACAGCTCCCCAGCTGGGCCCTTTCATTTAGGACGCCCCGCAGCAGTGGTTCTCAGCTAGCGGCAATTTTGCCCTCCTACCCCAGGAGACATTCAGCAATGTCTGGAGATATTTTTGGTTGTCACACCTTGGAGGGGGAGGTACTACTGGTATCTAATGGGTAGAGCCCAGGGGTGCTGCTAAACATCCTACAATGCACAGGACAGCCCCTGCAACGGAGAAGCATCCAGTCCAAAATGTCATTCGCACAGAGGCTGAGGAGCTTTGACCACAGAGATTCGGAAGCTGGAGGCTGTGCCTGTGTCAGCCGGTTGGCGAGGGTGAAGTCTCGGAGAGAAGAAATTTTCGCTGCAAGGAGAGCCTCTGCCTTGGGGGCGGCTTCCTGAGCTGTTAAAACCTGTGTGTTTATCCGAAGCCCTGCTGCTTCCCCTCCCAGAAGTGGGAGGACAGGAAGAGCTGAGGAAGTAAGGAGGAGCCTTCCACTCCCTTGGCCTTGGAATACTTCACTTCCTCACATTGTCACTTGATTCTAGGGCCAGGCCCGGTTTTCCATGACTCTGGCCACTGAGCTGTGTCTCTGAGGGCTGCTGCCTACATGAAGGCCATTTGCTTCAGAGAGTTATGCAGTGCAAAGCCTATGCAACAGTAGGTGGCGGTCCTGCTGCCTCCTTTCCTCACCACTGTGCCCTTAGGCCAGCCTTCAGCCTCCTATTCAGTCGTTTCAGTGTACTGAGGCATGATAGGAGCCAGGTACTGAGCTAGGTGCGGGCAAGTTAGGGCTGAGTCCTATATCAGAGAGCTCACCAAGGGAAGATGTTTAGACAAATTACAAATTTAAATAAACAAAAAACATGGGATCCCAGGTGTCCACAGAGAGGGGAATCTGGGGAGGCTTCACAGAGGAGGCAGCATGTGGACTGGTTCTTAGAGGATGCATGAGGACTGGAGAGGGGCATTACCTGAGCAGTTTTTGTGTGCCCAGCTGAGGGGTGTGGACTTTATCCTGTGAGCAGTGGGAATCAGGGGTGTTTAAGCAGGGGCGACCTCTGCTGACTTTTGGATTAGAAAGATGACGTGCTTTGGTACCATCTACCCACCCCCTTCTCTCTCTTATGTGAGGCTCTCACCCTCCAGCAGCACTCACTCCACACCCACGTACTGTGGCTTCAGGGACACCAGGCAAGAATCAGTAGGAGGCTCTCCCTGCCCGAGAAAATCTCCCTGGCTGAGGAAGCCTGAAGTTCCACCATTATAGATTTATTCCTTTGGATTATAATTTATCCTCTTAAATTCCTTTGTTTAAATACGGACTCTCAACCTTCACCCCGTGAAATGGAACACTGTCTCTAACACACATGTACATACACCCCTGCCTTTATTTTGGGAGGCTATCAGCTATTTCCACCTACCAGCGCCAGTTTTTTTCAAGGTTATATTGGTAGACACCTGCTCAATTAAATTAATATTTGCCATCAGGGCTGACTCATTTAATAGAAATAATAAGTTTCCCTGGGTGTGTGGGGTCACCAGATACCAGCCAAAAAATATAAAACACATCATCAATGTGGTTTTCACAGGCAAGCATTGGGAAGCAATAAGTCTTTCTTTTTCATGTTTTTTATCTTTTGATCTACATGGGTATTTTGTGCCAGGGATTACACATTCAGATTTTAAAAACGTGGGAGGGCCCAGGTCCACGAAAGGAAAGAGGCAGGAGGTAGCTTTGATAATTTACCTTGACGTGAATATCTGGTCCCCTCTCTCCCCTCATGAAGGACTGTTGACCTCTCAGCGTGAGTGAGTTTATCAGACATCAGCGTCTCTCATGAGAAGATTTGAGAATCCGAGGGCAATCAGGAAGTTAGTAAGAGCCTGAGTTCCTGATCCAAATTTGGTAACTTGCTGGCTGTTTGACCTTGGCCAAGTTAATTAACTTCTCTGCCTCAACTACCTCACTTATAAAATAGAGATAATAACATTACCTCAGAGGGTTGCGTTTGGATGAAATGAGTTAATATATGTAGGGTGTTAAGAATGGTGGCTGACATCTAGTAAGTTCTATATAAGAGTTAAACAGTACCCTGAGGGTCGAAGCCCCTCCTAGTGCAGAAAACAGGCTTGCGAGGTGATGCTGAAGGTGCGGCTTTGGCTGACTTTCATCCTTCCCCCACAGCCCATCCCTGCCAGGCCTATGTCACTGATTCTGTCCTGTCCTCATCCCCGCAGTTCATGACCAAGAACCCCCACAAGCGCCTGGGCTGTGTGGCAGCACAGAACGGCGAGGACGCCATCAAGCAGCACCCGTTCTTCAAGGAGATCGACTGGGTGCTCCTGGAGCAGAAGAAGATCAAGCCGCCCTTCAAACCTCGAATTGTAAGTAGGGCTCAGAGCTCGTTCCACACAGCGGGTCGGGCCTGGGCGCGCTTGCACAGAAAGACTGGTCTGGGGCCCGTTTACAGCCAAAATGACAAGGACAGAAGGTGGCCAAGATGCTCCCTACAAAGGAATCTCTTAGGCCCCAAGAGTGTCCTGTTGAAAATGTATAACCGATAGCTGTGACCAAGAGGATGATTTATATGGGACACAGAAGAACACTTTATCTCGAGAGAGATTTATTTATTTATTTTGATCAAAAATTACAAGTGATAACTAGTTTCCTATGTATGGTGAAAATATAAGGTTTCTTTATAAATAACCTGGTTCGTTTTTCAAATGAGTCGATTTAAAGAAAAAGATTCACCCAATAGCAGTCACGGTCATTGTGTGGCACTAGCACAGAGCGGGAATTGAGACTGAGTGACTGATGTTTGAGAAGGACTGTCCCTGAGGGGCCACCAGGGGCCAAGTCAGTAAGAGCCGGGTTCCTGAGGCAGGCCCCTTCCCGCCCGCTGCCCCTTCTGACTTCTCTCCAGCCTCAGCACACACTTCCTTCCAGGTTCTTAGGCCTGGTGTGGGGACGCCAGTCGGAGAGGGTGCAAAAAGGGGTGTGTGAAGCTCAGCGATTGGAAAAGGAATAGAACTGTCAAGTCTGGGCTTGACTCAAGGCAAAGACCATGTCCTGGCCGTGACCTTCCGCTGGAAGGGGAGGGGTCGCTGTGCTCCCCTTAAAGTCAGAGAAAAAGAGTGTGCACGTGTGTGTGTAGAGGGACTATCTTAATTCTGTTGGCTTTTAGCCCCATGAAGCAATCATTCGGACTGAAAATTTGGGCAGCTGGCTGGCTAGCTTTCTGGGAGTGAAGGGGGTTGTGTAATAGAGGAATTTACTGAGCAGGACCCCAGCGCGGTGGGGCTGGGGTCCTGGGCAGGAAGGACCTACAGTTGTCCTGTCAGCCCTCAGTCACCCCACATTCTGTCAGGTGACCCCTCCTTCCTCACTTCCAAGTACAGAAAAGAGCCTCCTGTGCTTTGTGAATCACCCGAGAGGAATTTCACTATATTCCAGGAGGTTTTCTGGGGAGTGTTTATTGATAGCACTGTGATTCTCAGAAATGTTCCATCAAGGGGAAGCTCTCAGCTGAAGGGCGTGGTCCAGGCCTCGCCAGACGCCAGATGCCAGACGGGAGCATAGCAGATTGACCGTCCCTGGACAATCACTCCTATCACCATTCTTCATTCGCTTCCTCCTTTGGTTGTCATCATTCTCACTGGCTATTACACAGCTAGCACCGGGGCCGTGCTGTGGATCCAGGCAGGGCTCACGCACAGGCTGGCCTGCCCGAAGGTCCCTACAGGTGGTCTTGAAGGAGGACTCCAATTAACTGGCCCCAATAAGGTGAGGGGAAGCTGGCAACCAGGGGCCAGGCAGGGCAGGAGGAGAAATGAAAGTCTCAGATCTGAGAATGAAATGTTAATTTAGGTTTAATCGAAGTTCATCAAACCAAAGAAAACTGGAAAGTAGAGCTAAATCAAGAATCCAGGCCCAAGAAACAGGAACCCAGGGTGAGAGCAGGGCCTGATCCACGAGGTAGGTCTGCAAAATGTCACTTCAGTCTAGAATCCAGGTCAACAAAATGACTTACAGCTAAGCTTGCGGAGGGCTAGGGCAGGGCTGGAGCAGGGTGCAGAGTGGAGAGGACGACCAAGCCCCAGGGGACCATCAGCCAGGGCTGTGCAGGGGAGAGAGGGCCTAGGGCCGGGCAGAGGCAGGCAGAGAGTCTTTGCTGAGAGCCACACGGAGGCAGGGAATTAGGGCAGATCTTTATGATAAAAGGCACAGGAATTTTGAAAGTATGGACTCATGGAGAAGAGTCCCTCACCGGTAGAAGGGGTGGCAGAGCGTTGCTCAATTCCAGCTGAGGACGCGGTCTGAGACATCAGGAGCCTGAGGAGCGCTGGTCTCCGAAAGCCCTTCCCAAGGCCCCAACTATCCCAGGGGTTCCTCACCGGGCCTTCCACCCTCTAGTCTGAGCTCTGAGCCAAATGCAAGTGCAGACCTGGGAGGAGTGACACCCTGAGCAGTCCCTGGCCTCCCCAGAGTGAGGGGAGGGCAGGAAGAACGGGTATGAGGTTTCTGTGGGCCCGAGGGATGGGGAAGGAGCCAGACACAGAGGAAAGGGAAAGAGTGGAGATGAGTCAGGAGGCAGGCACGTCACCCAGTCCACTAGCGTGCAGGCCTCGCCCGGGCCCAGACAGGCAGGGATCCCCATAAAGCTGTCCCAGGCCAGGAGTCCAGGTGTTCCTGTGGGCAGAGATATGATGGGCCCCCAGGAACCAACAATGAAGTACATCCCCGGGTCAGGGGGTCAGGCCCACCTGGGGGTCAGATGGGACTCCATCTCTACCTGGAGCACAAGGACCCGTGCTTCCTTTCCTGGGGCCTCTCGAGAGCCCTCCACCTGGGACCAGAGGGCAGGACTGTGCTTGCTTCCTTTGCTGAGGGGCTCGAGTTGGCTTCCAGGGCCTTACCACCCCCGGAGAGGATGGCAGAGAGAAAGGGCAGAGCCGTCCAGGAGCTCCCACCAATTTCAAAGCTGTCTTAGTCAGCCTTCCTAAAGACTGACTTCATTGTTGCCTTGGAAATCGTCTTCTGTGCACGTTCCTACTCACCGCCCCCTAGACCTCCGGAGTTACCCTGGACACTGTTGGGGGTCAGGGGAGAGGGCGCTTAGTAGGTTGGTTTGAATTAAGTTTGAAGGAGAGAATTAAAACATCTGAAGGAAGGAAGGAAGGATAAAAAGGGAAATTTACACTGTGCAAGAGGGGTTTCTGGTCACACTTTGAGCCAAATAATGTTAATCTGTGCAGAGTTCTCAGCTACAGGCCTTTAAAAATGTGTTCAAGTTATTTAAATCTGATCGCATTTATATTCTTGGGACTAGAGATTTCTCTCTGGAGAAATCAAAAGTGAGAAAGAAAAGAACAATTCACGTCCAGTTAGCAGGTTGGAAAGGTGTCCCAAATCTGTTCCTAAATTGAAAATTCTTTTCTGAAAAATGTGGATGGCACCACTGTGAGTCACCTGTGGGCTGGTGTGTAGCAGAAACAAATTTTAAGTTGAATTAAAGCCCACTGCAATGATGAATATACTGTATTTCTCATCTCTGAAAGCTTTGCAGGACCAATGTGAAAATACACAAGATTTTTATAAGCTGTCCCCGACATCTAACCAACTCAGGGTTAGCCCTGGGGGTGTGGGTGCCTGCGTGGCTCAGATATCAACAGTGAGGACAGCTCTGTGCTCCAAAGGCAGTGTCAGCCTTACCCACAGGCAAAATGGAGGGCCATCCACAAGAGATCATTGGAGGGACACTGGGGTCCCACAGAAGTCATCTTCTGTTCAAGGGGCAGGGAGTTCCATCACAAGACAGGGCTTAAGGTGTCACATGACTTGATGACACATCAGATGCCTTCTGGGGAGAGTTGGGAAAGAAAGGTTTTGACGGAACGAGGAAGGAAAGCTGGTTTAGATCCTGATATTAGGATGAAGTGGCCAGGATAGTGGGTTGCAAGTAGCCAGGGACAGTGTGAGGTTCTTGGATCTTAGAGACAGACTCTGAGTCAAAGGAAAGATGCTGTGGCAAGAGGAGGGATAAGTCTATGAGCAAACATCACCAGCCTTGCAATTTAGTGGTGGCCTCAAGGAGACACTGGGCATGTAATTCAGCAGACAAGGAAACCAGATGCACAGACTCCCTTAGTCTCATTGGGCTGAAGATCCCCAGGGCATTTGGTCAAGGGTCTGACGCCTGTGAGGAACTTCAGGTCTTTTCTGTCTTGGGCTAGCTCCGTTTGCTCCCTACCCATGCCCCCCTGACATCACACCAGAATGCCACCAATCCTCAGAAACCTGCTAAATAGCTACTGTCCCATTCCTCAGCTCACCCATACTGAATCTGAAGACCCTGGGGTGTCCTGCCTGTCTGATTCAGGAAGGAATTGGTTTTGTTTGGTGGTGGGTGCTGGAGGTGAGGCTGGGTGAGGTCATGTCATCCATTCTAGGGCTTAAGAAGAACCAAGGTGTAGTGGCATGTTTTCCAGAGCTCCTGACCATCCTCACTCCCACTGCACAGACAGAACTCCTCCCTGGCAGAACCTGCCAGTGGGCACAGCAAGCCTGCGCTCTGCCCAGGCTGGCTCAGCTGGAGGCTGGAGTCCCTGGATCACCCCCATCAGGGCCAAGGATACAGCGAGGGAACAGCTCCTAGGCCCGATTTCCATCCCCTCCACAGGAAGCCTCGCCCCTCTGAAGATATCACCAAGGAGATTGTCCAGATTCTCAGCTGGAATTTGGCCTCTGGTCAGGTTCCATCACATTCCTCGATTGGCTGCTGTCCCCTCCAGGCCTTTGCCTTCTTGAGATTTTTGCTAAGCTGCGATTTCTGCTCCCTGGCGCCTAAACCTGCCTGTCTAACCCCTGCGCTGACTCACTAGCTGTCATTAGTGTGACTGGGTTGCCCTGCCTTCAGGTTTATGCCCCTTTGCACTAATCCTCACCCCAGGACGGTTTTCAGCGGCCTGTTTCAATGTGGAGAGTTTCCTCTTGTTTGTCCCCAGCTATCCTGTGTATTCTCCCTCTTTTTCTTTTTCTTTTGTACTCCTCCTGTCTATCCTCTATCTACCCACATACTCAACTGATTTCACACAAGCAATGTGCCATCAACACCAAACCAAAGACTTTGTGCTCAACTCCGTTTTATGGGGGTGGCTTGCTTCAGAGCAAGGGCATCCAGAGTGGATGGCAGGCACCCCAGCAGTGGGCGGGTGAGGGAATAGAAATAGCAAAGCCAGAAAGGCAAGAGCCAAAGCCTTAGATGCTGGAAAAAGTCTCCAAGCATAGCATTCAGTGGTCTATTCCACTGGAGATTTGGTTCCAAGATGGTGGCATCATCTAGTTGCCAATGAAAGTAGCACATTTAGCTTTTGTGTTACTGGTG